ATTTATGTATTTCATCTTCTTGACATTTCTTCTTAGAATTTAGCAAGTATTTTATTTTTATCTTATCTTATTTTTATTATGTTAATATTTTATCATTTATTTCATGTTTTCTCAAAAGATTTTCAGGATGTTGCAAGGGCGTCACCAACCAATGGGCTAGGGGGGGCAAGATAAGAAAGAGGATGGGAGAAATATAAATTATAGGTAGAAATAGGTACAGTGATATAATTTTTTTTAGAAATATTTTTAATAAAACCTTTTTCAAATACAAAAAAAAACATAAAAAATATAAATAACTAAAAAAATTAAGAAATTTAACGAAAACTAGGTAAAACATAATCTTCTCGAATTTTTTGAAAATTTTTCGACCACTTTATTAATAAAATCTTCATGGTTATCAAAAATAAGCGATATACCGATAATAAATGTTAAGTCTAAGTTTGCAGTTTATCTATAATTTAAAAACAATTAAATACAAAAGTTTAAGGATTGAATAATAACCTTCACAATTCAAGTTTAGAATTATGAAGCTATTATATTACTTAAAATATATAAATTTCTTAAACTTATGGGTAAACCTACAAAATTAAAAACCTTTTTCATTCCCTGTACATAAAATTGGTGCGTTACATAATTATATAGATTTAGTTGCACTGTTAAACTTTTATTCTGATTCCGATAGATATATAGCTAAATTTTTAAAATAAGGAAATGGAACTTTTTAACATAAAATTTTATATTTTTAAATTCTTTTGTCAGCAAATATTTATACTAATTTATTACAATTGTTTTTAAAAAAAAATAATGTATTAATGTTCAAAATTAAAGTTTAAGTAAATAAAATATTTTATTAAAAATTTCCAATCTAATATTTTCTTAGCCTAGGAAATTTTTTGTATTTTTTCAAATTTCTCCCCCTGCCCCCCTTGGCGACGCCCTTGTGATGCTGTATTCCATCAAAAAAACATTTCATCTTCAAACGCCATTTACTTGTTATTGATTTCTAATTCTTAAATTCAAAAAAATGTAATCTGTCAAAATTCCTTTAACTAATCACTTTATGATTGTATGACTTAAAATATTGAAACCGAATGAATAATATTTTCTGATGTAGGTAGACTACTTTTACCCTTAAACTTTAGTTCACAGACAAAAGAAAAACATTTCATTGTTTGCTTTTATTTAATGAAAAACCGATTTCGTTTTTGCATTAGGCAAAAGATCTGTAGATCTGGAGACATGGTTACACTTATTTTTTTTGTTTTCTTTGAGTTTCAAGTAAACTTAAGACATATTTTATTTAAGGTTTCATTCCCATCGACTAGTAATTATTTAGTATTAGTTTTTCAATAAAAAAGCTAAGAAAGTACCCTGAAGGCTAACTTTTAACACAATTCTGCCAAGGAAGACACGAAACAATTCAGTCCTAATAAAACTGTGAATTTTTCCCGTTTCCTTGCCTTAATTTATTCGCACATGGAGCTATTTCATCCTCCAGACACATTTAAATACAAATTAGTCTGTTATAGTCGAGAGGGACAATAAAAAAGTCTCCTCGATGCGAATAAAGAATACCAGGGAGCAATATTTACATTCTCTGTAGCGGTCCTTATCGCGGTTAAGGAACACGCCCATTGCTTGTATAAAAATCTCGGAGCAGGGTTGGACTAGCATCTTTACCCCCAGAGTAGTATATAAATCCAGAGGGAGTAATTTTTTGTGCAAAATTGAATTTTACGTTGTAGTGCACAGAAAACAATGCAGAAAACCTAACTTGAAAAAAGTTATATTATAAAGTGTGACTATACTAAAAAAATTTCACTCAAATTTCACTCAATTTTACTCAATAATGTATCAGTTTCTGTCTAAACTCGATTGAGTAAAATTTTCACTCTATTAATATGAGTACAACTGAGTGAAACTATTGCATCAGAAATGAGTGAGTTTTACTCAAATCCGAGTTACTGCTAACTATTAATTGAGAGACTTTTGATTCTATTCTGATTATATAAAACCAATTTAGAGGTGACTTTGTCTCTAGTATGATTTAAATTGAGTCTATTATTGAGTCATTTTTTACTCAGACTTGGTTTGTAATTAACTAAATATTGAGTTCAAAAATAAATCACTCATAAATAATTCATTAGGATATACAGTGTTCAAATTGATTCATTTCGCTCACGGGGCCTCCTCCTGACTTGGCTGAGACACGCCAGCTGAGTACCGCCGCCTTCGGCTAAGGCCTGTTCAACTGTGGTCGAGATTACAGAAAAATATGTAAGTGGTGCCATCTTCACGGCGTCGAAATTAATATAGATTTAAATTCACTCAGTAATGAAGACATTTACTCTAATTTAGGTACAAGTGCACCAAATACGAGTTTACGTGAAGAATTTATTTCAGGAGTACCTATTTGAGTGATAGTACTCAGCTTTAGTTTAAATATCACCACAAAATGCCCAATATTGGGTGAAAATGTACTCAATTAGTAATACTTGAGATAAAAGCATTTGTACGGAATAACAAAAGAACATAAATATTTCTCAGTTATATCTAAAAAATTAGTTATAGTTGCAAAACTTTTGTAACATTACTAAAATAGAGCTGAAAAACACGAACAGTGGGTAATAATGTAATTTCTATCACAGAACCTTCAAAATTGCATCCAANGAGAGGGACAATAAAAAAGTCTCCTCGATGCGAATAAAGAATACCAGGGAGCAATATTTACATTCTCTGTAGCGGTCCTTATCGCGGTTAAGGAACACGCCCATTGCTTGTATAAAAATCTCGGAGCAGGGTTGGACTAGCATCTTTACCCCCAGAGTAGTATATAAATCCAGAGGGAGTAATTTTTTGTGCAAAATTGAATTTTACGTTGTAGTGCACAGAAAACAATGCAGAAAACCTAACTTGAAAAAAGTTGTATTATAAAGTGTCACTATGGAAGACCGTAGATAGCGACGTCTACACTGAAAAAAAGGTATTTAAATGGAATTATTTGCCGTAAATATTATTTTATTCTATTCAAAAAATATTTGCTGTAATCTATAATTTTTCTTAAGAATTTATATTTATACACCTATAATTTAATTCAAATCTTTAGTTTTAGTTTTGAACTTTATTATTAACTATAAACATATTTGTTTCAAAACTACCAGTTCCTTAAAATAAATATGTATATTTAAAATTTAGTATTAATGTAGGAATTATTCAAGACAAATGTAGCATATTATAATCATACTTATCTTTTCTTGAAAGAAAATTGTAGCAGGTCACAGGTGGCGTAGGTGGGAAGTAGCACGATAGATGGAGCCACTGACGGTCTGTGTATACACGTCTCATTATGAGTAACGACAATAAAGCAGCTGAATCGATCTAAAGACAATCTTATTGATGAGGACCATCAATAAGTCCCTAACCTATGTCTGGTTGGTTAAACCTACAACTTACAATACAAACGATCCTAGCTGTTGTATTGTACCAGATGTTGTGAGTTTGAAACAGAACATTTTTTTATTACTGAGAAATATTTATATATTTATAAAATATTCTTAAAATAAGAATACCTATACAAATCATTTGACCAAAACTGTTCAATTCTGTATAAAAGAAACGATACATTAATATACAATACAAAAACATAACATGTTTCTATAAAATTTATGTAGATCATAAAATTAAGAATATAATTCATTTAATCGTAAGTTACAAATATTTATATTAAATGCTGCCTATTTTTAAAGTAAGAAATTATATTTCTGGGTAGAAATTTAAAGTATTTAAATAAATACATTACTTTATTTATAAGAAGAAAATCTTTTCTTGCGTGCGATACCTTAAAATCAAATGTTGTACATTTGAAGCAAGAAATTTTTTTTGCGTGTACAAGACAATCGAAAATTAACAACACTGATGAAGCAAATTTGTGTGCAATACATTATTTTTGAAAACGATACTTCCAAAATTTGATAAAAGAAACACATCTTTAACGCTCTGTATCTTAGAAACGAAAGACAATGCTCCCATGATTTTATTTCTCGATATTCTACCAGCTCCTGAGATTAGAGCAAGCACCTTTTTTCAAAACATCCTGTAGATATTATACCAAATAAATCGCATACATTTTTTTTTCGTACAAAAACGTTTATTTCTAATGTCCCCTTCAAGCTTGCTCCAGGGCTCTAACTTAGGGCCACTTTTATTTATTTTGTTTGTAAATAATGCCTTGTCTCTAAATTCTTGTTCTTGTCATCTTTCTTTTGCTGTTGACGACTTAAAGTTGTATAGTGCTATATCATATACTGATGATGGTTTGGATGACCAATTTATTTTCTTCTGTTCTGTCGAATTGAAGATGAAAGAGTGTTCTTATTTCGATAGGTTTGGAGGTCTGCAATTTTTATCAATCTGTACTATAAAAACAGGTTTTTCGAGTTAAGTTTTGACTTAAGTACAGGCACAATCTCTTTATTTGTGTTAAAAAAAACAAACCTCTTTACTTGCAATTTCTTCTTAAACAAAAATAAATAGAGAATTTAATTCCCTGTACCTGGCTTTTTCATATTTGTAACGTGTTCAACAAAGTAAAAATCTTATATACTCAAGAAATCACACTGCTTCTACTCAACCGAGCACACGGTGTTGTTATTGACACAACTATTCTCACATTTTACATTAAATTAATTGTTTTCGTTTTGCTTTTGTAACTCGCGCAATTGCGATCCCAAGTAAACAAAAATTTACGTATACCTAATGAAACCATATTGGTGTTAATCCGCACATAATGAGCAATTTTTCAAATATCTTCGGTATTGGCAACGCAAACAGTTCCTTTATCCGTAGAACTATATTAAGACATATTGACGCACGTTTTCTAATTTACTTGCCCAAAAAATTAACACCTCCGCCAAAACATGCTATCGTCAATGTTACGCTCACATTAAATTCCAATTAGCACCTGAAATGTTGGTATATATACCGCATTGAGCGCTATCAGAGCTAGTACAGTTTCGAAAACAGTCGAAATAACAACCGAGAATCATCAAGAGTGCGATGAAAATAATCTTCTTCGCCTTACTGCTAGTGGGAATCGCGAAAAACACCGCCGCTCATCCTCTCGAGGATGACCCGGTGGAGGAAGAGAGATCCAAGCGGTCTCTCTTCACCGACCCGGCGGTGTCTTTGACTGGCATGGAGAAGATATCCAAGAGATCCGTTGACGAAAACGCTGACGACATGGACACCGCCGCCACCAACGCATTTCTCCCAGCCTTCGCCAGGAGGAGGGGTAAGAGATCTACCGATTTGGAAGAGATGAACACCGCTGAGAACGTTTTCCTTCCGGCTTTTTCGAGGAGGATCTACAGAGGTAGAAGAGCGGCCGATGAAGACTTAGAGGACCTGGACACAGACGCATCCACCGCTATTTTTACCCCGTCCTTCGCCAGGAGAGGCCTTAGGAGAAATAGAAGATCCGCTATTAGCGACCAAGACGATCTAGAAGGTGCTGAAACGAACGCTTTCCTTCCCGCTTTTGCTAGGAGAGGTTTGCGTAGGAGTAGAAGATCTGCTGACTTAGAAGATGCTGATTTAGACACACAAGAAACTCACGCGTTTCTTCCTGCGTTTGCTAGAAGAAATTCCAGAAGGAACAAGAGGTCTACTGATCTAGAAGAAAGCGATTTGGACACCGCCGCTACAAATGCATTCCTACCAGCATTTGCTAGAAGGAGCAGAGGTAGAAGATCTGCTGATCTAGAAAAAGAAGACTTGGAAACTGCTGCTACTAACGCCTTCCTCCCTGCGTTTGCTAGAAAAGGCTTTCGAAGGAGTTAGAGATCTATAGAAGCTGACGATTTGGAACCCGCTGAGACAAATGCGTTCTTACCTGGATTTGCAAGAGGGAACATTATAAGAGGTTAGAATGAGTTAGTTTAAATAGTGTGGTACTTTTATTTTCAAATAGAGAATGTAGCTTTAGATTATTTGTTGTTGTACGTTTCTTCTTAATTTATTGATTGTAATGTACCTGTAGTGTATATAAGTAGTTGTTGATAGGAGCCTAGTTTTGTTAAATTTTTTAAATAAATATGGAAAAAATACATTTTTGGTGTTATTGTTTATGTAAGTAAGGCAACAAATAATTAGCACTTGCAAGATATGTTTGTGTGTTATTGCTAGTCCTATATAAAACTCTTTTATTTTGTGGAAAACATCTGAAAAGTAAAATGGAAAAAAAAATGAAATAAAATGTATAGTACAGGGTGTTACTGAAAAGTAAGCCGAGCGGTTGACCATATATAAATAATGAAAATTGTGAGAATTAAAATTAAAAAATATAAGTGTCCATTTATCTATAATTCGTAGTAATAAGATGATGACCAAATATGGTAAATTAGATGATAAAATGTACTTACATTATAATAAATTAAAAAGATATTTAAAAGGCTATGATTTTTCAAATATTTGTAATACACATGTAGCGATAGGATAATTTAGATGTTCTTTTATTATCCATAGACAATAATTAAACAAAATTAAAATAAAAACACGCAAATTGAAAAAGGATGGACAACAAAGGGGTCGCTAGCTAGAACATAAACGATATCAATATGAATTTATACAATTATTATAGAAATAATATATATATAATTCAATAAAAAAAAATAGAAATGATTACTTTAGAACATAAACTAACAACATTAAAATTAAAGAAACACAAATAATTCATAGGAAACTGCAAAATGCATTTGTAATATGGGTAGAGCTGTAGGACAAAAATAAAACAAATTGATTCGCATTATAAAAGATGGCAATACAATTGTTGATTTGCTCAATAAGTATTATATCGACAATATCGACATAAGTAAAAAACAGCATATGATATTAAATATTTCGGAAAAAAAATTAATATAGAATCTATGCAAAACTCAGTTTATCTCGAAGACACAGATGAGGCAGAAGTAAATATGTGATATCGAAATTAAAGAGAGTAGATGCTATGAGATTTGAAATTTTAATAAAAATTAATTAAAGTCATAAAGGTATCTAAGCTATTACCTATCTCTATTATCTTCTCTAGAGGGAATTCATCTCATATTTTAACAAGCTATTTATGTAACAGAAACCTGAGTATCAACATTGATAAAAATGAGAAATCACTTAATTCATGGAAATCGGTATGATATACCTCAGGGTACAGTTTTAGAGCCTGAACTGTTTACGTTGTATTAATGATTTGCTTACTTCAAATATATCATGATCATATTTCTAGTTTCGGAGATGACAGCTATTTTCTACTGAATTTTGACAGTCGTTATTTGAGCATCATTAAAAAAAATCGGAATTAGGGTTCTCCAGATATTAGCAAAAACCTTGTATTTTCTCTAAATTTCAACATCCTGTATCTCTGAAACGAAGCATTTTCGGACATAGGTTTATAGGAACTCTCTTTCTTATTCTTGGTTAAGGAAACTCCCCCTGAATTTTTTCGCAATATTAATGGGACACCCTGTATATCTTATCTTATGCTCAAATATCGAGTCAAACTNTACACATGTTTGCATATTAATAATTTATTTTTTATACAGGGGGATCAAAAACCTCAAAAACATTAATCCAACATTTATTTTGAGAACACGGCAGAATCAGTATGTACGCGCCATTACAAAACTATTCTACATGAAGTCCGCCAAGTTCAACACACCTCTCCAATCTTTTTCTAAATGCAGCGTAGGTCGAATGTATCATTTCTTCATTTACTTGGGCAATAGCTTCAATTATCCTGCTTTTTAAGAAATCAGCATTGTGTTGCATTGGTTCTCTGTACACCCTTTCTTTAAGAAGCCCTAAAGGAAATAATCAAAATACCAATAATTTGTAGAAGGCAATTGTTATCAATAATTAGTTGTGACATTAGGTGTTGATATTTAATTTTATTCAAATAATGCTTACTTTACAGCATCGCATTTATCTTGTTAAATGTTAGGGTATGGGTAACATTTTTTATAGCCAAGCAATTGAATTGTTTCATGAAAAATATCCAGATGTTAAAGTTACCCGCCAAAATCTGAGAAAACTAATTCGAAAATTTGATTTAACTGGTGAGTAAAAAACGTAAAAAGGTCAAAAAAAAAAACACGATGACGATGATGCAACTACAATACTAGTTTTGAATTCGGTAGAAGAAAACCCGAGACTGTCACTAAGATATCTAAACAAATCGATGTTAGCAAGACACATATTCAGAGGATTTTGGTAGAAAATAAGTTAAGGCTTTCAAATCAAAAGTAATTCACACTCTAGAAGTTGGTCATGATGCACATCGTTTGGAGTTCTGTTTAGAGATGGGAGAAAGGATTGTGGTAGATAGACATTTTCACAAAAATATATTTTTTCCGATGAAACCACTTATTCTACCAATGGAGTGGTATCGTCTCAAAATTGTCGTTTTTGGTCGCAAGAAAATCCTCCCTTTACAGTTACTTCAAAAAGTCAAAGGTTCAAAAAAGTAAATGTTTGATGCGCGATTACTTTCAACCGAATAATTGGGCCATACTTTTTTTTAACCAAATTTAAATCAATATACGTACCTGGAGATGCTAGACACGTTTTTCTGGCCAGAATTAGAAGAAGAACATTTGGAATATAGACAAAAGCGTATTTCCAACAAGCGGATGTCCCGCTCACTCAATAATTCTAGTCCGCAAAATTTCGAGAGAAGTGGATAGGAAGATATGGTCCTATTTGGTGGCCAGCAAGGTCCTCTGACTTGTCGCCGCTTGATTATTTCCTTGTGCTTCTTGAAAGAAAGAGTGTACAGAGAACCAGTGCAACACAATGTTGATTTCTTGTAAAGTAAATGAAGAAATGATACATTCCACCTACGCTGCATTTAGAAAAGATTGGAGAGGTGTGTTGAACTTGGCGGACTTCATGTAGAATTGTTTTGTAATGGCGCTTACATACCGATTCTGTCGTGTTCTCAAAATAAATGTTGGATTAATGTTTTTGAGGTTTTTGATCCCCCTGTATAAAAAATAAATTATTAATATGTAAACATGTGTATCTGTTTTTCAATAAAGCAATATTTTTTTAAATAGAATGGCTTCTCCGAAAGTATTAAAAAATAAGTACAGTCTTAGAATATCCCAGAATGTCGAGTATTAACTAGAAGGCCATGCTTTCATATTTAAACATAAAATTTAATTCCAAGCAACTTTTCCCCATTACTTTCTCACGTAGCGTTAAGATTTAAGGTACTTTACTCTTCACTGTTTTACCTTTTCCAAATTTTTGAACACCCTGTACATTAAATCTTGCTAAGGGATTCTGGACAAGCAAAAATTTTTATGAAGAATGATTTTTTTTGACAATTGAAATTTTGTATCCATTTCAGGTATAGGTAACCCGAACTGGAGACACGCTGTATCTAGTCATGGTTATATTTCTAGTTTCGGGGATGACACAGCTATTTTCTACTGAATTAATCTGAACTACGAAATAAAACTAATAATGATTTCAAAACCCATTGAGGAATGGTTTGAATAGATTAACTCTAAATTACTACAGAATTGATTTTTTTAATATTTTTTATAGTTATGATTATTTTCACATTTTTATTATATACAATATGTCCGCGGTTAGGGTGAATAAGAGGAAAAACTTTTTTATTTTATATTTTACGGAAAAAAGGCACACTTGATAAAAAGTTTTGCTTGAAATTATAATGATGTTGCCATAGTGAAACTTAATATTTCAAGTACGGTGCGTCCAGAAAATAAAAAAATCTGAAAATGTCACGAGAGTAAAATACCTTTATTTTTAATATTTCTGAAAAGTGTCTCTAGGAAAGTTATCCCAAATTAAAAGGTACGACATAACTCCAAATTGTGGAAAAATTGGCCTACTTTGATTATTTACAAATATTTACATCCGCGGTTAGGGTGAATAAGAGGAAAAGCTTTTCCAAAATAAAACTGCAAAATTGTCTTTATATTTTCTTTCTGCCATTCACTATAAAAAAACTTGGTTTGTCCTAGCACTCCGAGAATTATGCCAAGTAATTCGACTTGCCCTGTTACCAAGTTGTGGTAAAAATTCCTCATTATTAACTAGACATATTTACAAAACGGTTAATGTTACGTAAATGTAATATTTATGCCTAATACAGGGTGTCCCATTAATATTGCGAAAAAATTAAGGGGGAGTTTCCTTGTCCAAAAATAAGAAAGAAAGTTCCTATAAACCTATGTCCGAAAATGTTTCGTTTCGGAGATACAGTGTTGAAATTTAGAGAAAAGGTTTTTACTAATATCTGGAAAACCCTAATTCCGATTTTTTTGAAATTTGATATGTTTATTTATAAAAACGGTAGACGTCTTCTGACGTAATTTGATTTATTTTACCTATTCCTGCGGTGTCCGGGGACTAACTCCTGTTGATTTTAATAAGTAAACATATGAGACGTCACTGCTTTTTCTTAGGTGTCATATGTTGTTTCTAATTATGCGATTAAAAATACAACTTTCTTATCATTTTACTTTTTTTAATATCTTGCTTCGTTTTAGAGCAAAAAATTAATATCCTTTCATATGCACATTCTCAAGGGAAGTAGAAAACAAAAATAGAAATTCAATGTTTTAGTTATTTACTAACCAACTTTAACAATACATTTAAAGGATAAACAATGTAACAAGCTGAGAAACAATAACTCACTAAATAATAATAATAAGCTATTTGTTCTCTTACACCAATTTTAATATTTTCATCGATCTTTTGAATTCAAGTTTGAGAATTCAGGTGGAGGTTTCCGACTTTATTATAATAGAATTGCTTCTAAAAACGAAACATTTCTTATCCTATTAAATGTTGGGGTGCCATATGACAATTTTGCGCTTGATATGATCGCAGAAATATAATAAACCTTCCCCGCATCCGGTTTGCGGCCCCGATGTGACAAAATATTATATTCATGAAAAATCATCCGCGGAGAAAAATCTGCCCACCCGAAGAGATTTATTTTTAAGCGGTTTGTATAACGTGAAGGGTCACGGGGCGAGCATTGAAAAATATATATCGGTGTACAATATGAGGTCGGGATAACGAGATACTCTTGTATAGGTTTCAGGATGCGGCCCATTCACAATAATGCGGATCCTC